CACTTTTGTAAGATAGTCTTAAACGTCGTGTGAACATTTCACAAGTATATGTATGAATATTAATAATAGTAATAATAATAACAATAATATAAAGTCTATACTTTGAACAAAAATATTTTTAAGCGAAAACTAGTCATATGTTCTTCTCTTATATCTCGTATATTTGTCAGGAATGATAAATTGCTTCATGACGACAGGGAATTCACGTCATGAAGAGAGTCAAGTCTACAAAATTTATCCAACGCAGTGGTTTTATGATTTATTTAATTAATTTTTATTGATACTTCTCTCACCTCTTAGGTGTAGAATAGCCGCTTCCCAGTGTGTGGAAAGGTTTTGCTTTATTTTGTATTCTCTTGGGAAATTCACATTCCTAAAATCAAAGCAAATATGAGAAATTACTGTAGGGTATGAAAAAAATATTTATATATATGTATATTGTTCTAATTTTTTAGTGGGATGAATAACAATTGCATGTTGGATAATTTGACATTTTAATGTTAAAGTCTTTTTCTCATACTTCTGTGTTCCGAGTGGAACAAGCAGCTTCCAGGCTTGAAGCTTTGTAGTTTCAACAGCTGTGGTGTTATTTTTGTTTTTATTGAGGGTGGTTGCTATCGTCATGTCCAGTCCTCTTATCTTTCTATGCTTGATATCCTTACTGGGAACTACGTGAGGTTTAGGAGTAAACTGTCTGTGATTCAAACCCTGGCACAAATGCTTAGTTGGCTAGTATTCTATCAGTGATATGAAGTTGCTGATGTTCGCTGTCTAGAGAACTGCAGACAGGAAGTCTGTACTTGTCCTATATCCTTTAGGTTCCAAGTGGAATATAGGGCTTCAGCAATATGTCTTTATTTCCTCGTGTTCTCTGGGGTCCATTTCAGCTTTTATCTCCTCCCTTGCTCACACGATCTCCTCTATTTCACTGTCTGACCCACATCCAACTCGTCGTTTTCCATTCGGATTCCATTTGAGGAAGTGTGTCTCACACAGTGGTCTTCCCATTGTATGCGCGATTCACCTCAATTCCCTTCTGAAATATTTCTTGATTGAGCGATAGGTTGTTGGTTGGTTCGTTGTGTCGCTAGAGTTTCTTGTGACATTGCATTCCATAGTGCACTTATCTGTCAACACTGTCGAAGACTATTCCAAAGTCGGAGTAGGGAGTTGACACTAGACTAACCGTTATTCATTTCATGGATGAATGTCACCTTGTTTTCTTATTACTGCTCAACGCTTTCAAATCTGTGTAGATTGTAGTGACTCCTTAAACGTTAGAAGTAAACCGACTTGAACAAACTGGTTGACTCTCATAGATGGCACTGAAATTGAAACCACGACGGAAATTAAATACCTAGGCGTCATTCTATCTGCTGATCTCTCCTGGTCGTCTCATATCTTAGCAATTTCTAAGAAAATATTCCGTCTTACCTTCTACATCAAGAAGTTAAAACATTCTGGTATAACCCAACCCTTACTCCTACAATTCGTTAACTCTCGCATTCTGCCTATTATTCTCTATTGTTCCCCCTTAGTTTTTCCTGGGTTACTGAAGAAAGACTATGCCTTATAACGCAGGATGTTAAAGGTTGTCAGCAGGGTAAGCAACGTGCCACTTAACCAGCTTGTTAATATTCTGGTTGACAGGCACATGGACTCATGTCAAAAATGGGCCAAATCCATTTTATCTAACTCACAACGCCCTCTTCACTCACAACTCTCCCCTTGCATCTCATCAGGCAAAGCCAGAAGACTATATAGAAAACTATATGCTCGCACCAGCAAGTACAAAAATTCAACCATACCCTACTTAGCTCATGTTCTATGCGATAAAGAAAGCATTAGGCGTGACACCTATAACTCATTAAATAGTCAGTAGAACAACTGGACCTCGTCTTTCCAGCTCATGTCATTTATAGGTACAACATTTTCTTTCTTTCTTTTCCTCTTCTATCTCTCTCTCTTTTTTTCTTCCGTTATGTGCTGCTTTGTTTCTTTCTCTCGCTTACGCCAGTAAATATGACAGCACCTACATTTCTAACACCTTCACACACTGTTCAACTTTGGCTTTGCTACCGACATGCCAATATGTTGTTGTCATAATGAACTGAGATTTCCTTAATCTATGTAGAATTCTATTTATTGATAATGTACAAACTGGATGCAATACTGTAGTAAAAATGCTGAAAATTCCATTCTGTATCACAAGTATTGTTTTGGAATAAAGCAAATTATTATTATCATTAATATTATTATTATATAGAGTGATATTGTGATGTTAAAAGACGAGAGACTTGCTAACGGAATATTCATTTATAATTTAGTATCTTTATATAGGGAAATTATATGAAAGTTAAATGAAAATCGTCATTGTCACAGATCTTCCATGTTGTGCTACTTCTGCAACGACGAAAGACAAGGGCCAGGCAATAGATCGCTTATTGAAAAAATCAAGAGATATTTATAGATTTTTATGTACTTTATTATTCGTTATAGTTAGCAGACAAGCAACGTCTTCTGATTGGTTGTTTTCTTGCTAAAGGTTGTTCTGTACTGTTTGTGACCGTTTCTCAGAAAGTTAAGCCATAAACCTGAGAATCCTATTTGCCCACGTTAATTCTGCTGTGATTGGTTGGTGAGTTCCTCAAGGTTAAGCTTTGTTATTGTTCTTTTATCATGATCCCGATTTAGGACGTAAACATTGACGTAAATTGTTGCCTACAATTTTGGCCTGCAGACAGCTCTCACCACACTTCTACCCTTCATACTGTGTCTTTTTTGTCTTCTTTTAGCGTCTCTTTTCTTTTGTCGCAACACTGAATTATTTGCTCTGTTTGACGTCAAATCTATCTCTCCACTATGTGATATTTTTGTGTGCCGATGAAAGTCTCTTTATATACGACTGATAAAACTTGCCAATAGCACACACCACTTAGATTTAAATATATAATAATGGATAATTTTTTTGTTTTTCTCAAATAATCACATAACATGTATCTTTGTTATTTCTAATCTTGGTTCCACCGGTGATATTTGATATTCGATGTATCACACAGTTTTTTTATTCCTTTTACGTTCCCAGTGGAACATAGGGCTTCCAGCTAGAGGCTTGACGTTTCTGTAGCAGTGGTACTTATTTTTACTGGATGAGGTTGTTAGCCTCATGCCCAACCTCCCCTCTTTGCCAGTCTTATTTACTGGCTTAGTGAGGTAAAGGAGTGCCTCATCAGTTGGGGATAGAACCCTGACGAGCATTCTACCGTTGTGCCACCGGCGCACCATCATATAGTGACACATTACTATTTACTGGATGATATTTAAGACAAAAGTTACTATTCAAAAGCATATCACTAAGTGTAATTAAACAAATTTTAAACTTGATTTTTCCATGATTCTGTTTCTTACTTTCTCTCCATTTGTCGTAGGATTAGCAGTTGTCTGAGAATTTGTTGCTGAATTATTCCTATTACATGTATTCTCAGTTAATTTGATCAATAAAGCCTCAGACTACTCCCTTCGCCTATCTTTTGGACCTCACAGTCATTCCGGGGTATTAGGTAGACTAAATTTTGTTCAATGGGTTTCACAGTATTCTTGAGCCTACATAATTTGTCTCTTAGTCATTTGATGGGCTTTAGTGGCACTCTTGATATAAGATGGTTGGAGGCAATCGGCAGGAAGCCTTCAACCTAGGTTACATGCTGAATGGCACTCATCAGCAAGGAGCATCTGCAGGTTTGAAGGAACTCATGTTCGTTTTGATATTTGAACCTACGTCACCAAATGCTGCAGTCATAGACATTATCACTCAGCTAATCGGGCATGAAACCTAGGTCCAAGGCTTCCTGACGATTGCCTCCAACCATTTAATATCAATAATTCACAATGTATTGTGTTGGCTAGCCTCCCCTTCCCTTAGCGTGGTATCCACATTGCGAAAATTAGTCGGCAGAACTCAGTTTACACCAAAAAAAGGACTAGAAACATTATACTAGTTACTATATAATGTCAAATCAAAGAATGGCATTCTTATTGCTGTCTTGTTAGTAATTCTCTGTAGGATTTCAGAGGTTCCTTTATTACATGATAGCACTACCGATGTTTAAAATTCCTTATTCCCAGTGTACTTATGTTTTCAGTATGTTTTTCATTCACGCTTACATTATATTAGTTTTACACATTACGTTCTAGTTCAGTGTTTCTACATTTTCGAGTATATTTAATTATAATTCTTTTTGAATCACTCTAAGATTAAATGTGCTCAGGCATTACCTTGGAATGCTGATTTATTAATACTTATCTGTTGACAGTATTTTGATTTAATTGTGTTCTCTGAGCTGGTTGATTTAATCACGATGATCCAATCACTTGCAATCACTCCCAGTTGGTTTTCCAATGGTTCTCTAACTGATGTCAGCGCATGATGAAATCCTGTAACCAATCACTCTATTTTAGCTTACTCAACGCTCTTCTATTGGCTTTCATTTCTTCCTCATATAGTTTCCATCATATCACCCTCGGATCCCCACCTAACTCGTTGTTCATCACTTGGGTTCCAATCAAGTGGTTTCTTTGAGCGTGATGCCACTCAGTGGTCCTTCTACACATTCCTACATTGTGAGTGATAGGTTGTTTGTTGGTTCGCTGCGCTTCCAGATTTCCTTGCTGTTTACCCTTCCCGTCTGGCCATGTGATTCTTAGTGTGGAGCTAACGCAGCAGCTACTGATGAAATTTCCCACGTTGATGGTGATTGACGCTTGTTGTTATTGGTTACAGGAGTGTCTTCATCACTTGTATCTATGTTCACTTGAGGTTCTGCCTTCATTGTCTCTTCTTATAACTCGCTCATTTCCTCATACAGATCTTTGAGTTTTTGTGAGAATTGGTGCCTCTGATGAAAAAGTAGTTTTCACATAGAGAACCTATTTTTATTTTACCGTCTTTTGAAATGTTGGACTAAAATCAAACTTTCTTTCACTCTTTTACACTTTTCTAGGTCAAGTTGGTAATATTATTACCACAAGAAATGCTCATCGGACAGAATTCGAAAAAATCTTGGTAAGTTATGGAACTGTTGAGTTTTTAATTAATTATTTTCTTTGAAATTTGAATGCTACACCTGAAAACCTCAAGTTTAGAGTTTCCTATAGGTCAGCCAACCCCTTTTAACATCCAGTGTGAAACTACAGTGCTTCACAGTATTGCATCATTCAATTGTGTTGCGGCGTCACCGATTTCAGTGATGTATTTTATGGCCACATTATATACGACATATTTACAAAAAAAAGAAAGAACATTGAGCTAAGAATATTCTTTTCGATAATTCCCTCTTCAGGCTCTACAATTATATATGCATGTTTATATGCACAGAATATTCTAGAATAGTCGTCAGTGTCAATATTGATGTTTTTAAGTACTATCGATTTGTTAATACCAATGAAATTACAGTTCAAGAAATATGCTTAAGTTATAATAAGCATAGGCATGCAATAGCAAATAGAATATCAAATAAAATTAAGGAAATTTCTACAACAAACTGAGGACCATTAAAACCTTGATGTCCATAGTAAGGAGATTGTCTGAACCAACTTCTTTTGGGTAAATAAGTTAGGTTTATTAATGCAGATCCCAACAGCCAGCATCAGCAACATGTAATAGAGGAACTCTTAAGGTGAAGTTAAGATTTGTTGGTATGCGATAAATAACTTTGAAAGCAGCCTCATTAACATCAGTCTTGTGTTCTGTATCCACAATATGAGATAGAATGGCGCCATGAATGGATTTTGTTTGTCCTTTACTTAACTACTATGCAGGGTGATGTTCGTAAATCCGATGAGAAACACACCTAATTGTATGGCCAATGTAACTGTTTCCACAGGAGCAGTCAAATTGTTACATACACATAGAAGAGGTGAAATTAGGCAGTGTATCTTTTACTCCCGAAACCAAAAAGGAATAGTTTCGAAGACACAGCGTAATTCAGCAGCATGGAACGCTCTTTTTACCGCCGTATTTCTTAGGCGTTGTGTTAATATCTCACTGATGTTATCCGTGGAGAACTGAATTTGTTAGAATAAGGCTTTTTGGAACTGTTGATACTTTGGCCTGCCTTGCCTTTTGATACATATTCCTGGGTAGCCGTTCTCACTAAGTAACTGTTTAATGATATTAAGCTATTCATCAAGACATTCATCAGAGCAGATCACTCTTGCTTTGTGGATGACGCATTTAGTTAGATTGCGTTTGTATTTCAAAGGTACAGAGCTGAAAAAATGAGTATACTGACCAGTTGATATAGGTTTTCTGTGTACATATCTTCTTATTGTACCGTCCTCTTTTCGCTATATACCAGATAGTTAAATAAGTTGACTAAATGTAGGCTATATGTCAGCGTACATTAACGCTAGGTGTACATGTTGACTCTGCTTCTTTTTCTTTTCTTCACGTTCCCCAGTGGAACATAGGGCTTCAAGCTAGCGGCTTGAAGTTTCTGTAGCAAAGTTTATTTTACAGGATGGGGTTGCTAGTATCATGCCCAACCTTTCCTCTTCACCAGCATTATTTCTGGCTTAGCGAGGTAAAGGAGTGCGTCGGCTGGGGATCGAACTACGGACCATGTGCATGGTCAGCGAGCGTCCTAACCGCTTTGCCACCGACGCACTGGTGTCGCTGCCTCTTAGAAAAACAAAACTCCACCTCATTAGCTGAACTGAAGCAACCTTTAAAATGTTCAACATTGAACAAAAATTCAATTTATGATGATTTTAAATTTAGGAAACTTTTGTTACAAGCAGTGAAATCTAGGATACACATTCTGCTGTAATTTGGTGAACTTGTCAGCTGGATGTGGCTAAAGGAACTGATTATTCCTGTCCAAAGCAATCAATCAGTTAAAAATGTTTAGAAAACAATTAACTTGAACGATAATAAATGACACTTTAGTACAAGAGGTGGCTGTCATGACCTAATGGGCAAGTGGATAACGATATGCAATGAGAGATCACACCTCGCAGAGAAATTCCATTACCCTTTGAGGATTCGCTTGGTCTCAAATTAGACGAAGTACACTTTCTGCATTTATCTTGTAGTCCTTATCAGTCATATTAATATTCAGACATCGTTCAGACGTCTGTAATACTATCTAACATGTCAACAGAGAGAACAAACATTTAGGTCTGACATCATTAAACTAAAAATAAAAGTAGTGAACTCAGCTGAAGGCCTGCATCTAAAAACATTATGATTACAGTATCAAATGATGCAAATCCCAAGAGTGTTTCCATGTCTGACAGATTTACTGTGTTCTGCTTTCTCTACCACATACACCGGTGTATATAACTGTCACTTTGTTTTAATTATTGATTATACGATTTTTTGTATATGTTCGAACCAAGTTCAGTTTTAACGATTTGAAAAAATTTGAGCATCGGGTATATGATATTCATTCAATATAATAAAGGGTTTTTTTGTATTTCCCAATGAATGGAAAACAAAACGATATTGTTGTTTTACTGACGTTTTGATATTTAATGCTGCACAAAGCCTAATCAGCGTAGTAATAATAAACAAGAATTTACAAAATCTCAGCATATATATAACAACTTAATCATTGTTCCTCAACATGGGGTCATTTTTGCGTTGTCAAGTTGGCCAGTTGGTAAAGATAAGAAAGCCAGGTGTTGAAACTGCTTATCACATTCGTGTTGACTTTGTCACTTCATGGAAGAGAAAGCTGTTGTAACCTGGTCAAATTCTGTTTTAGTTCATCATTCAGACACTATTCAGACAATTTGGATTCCATTTGATATGAAGTGCTTCTGATGATATGAGACGTTCTTTATGATTTCTGAAATGCTTTTTCTGGACGATGATCTCAATATTGTCAAAATCAATTTTGTGGCCTGATCCTATGGCGTGTAGACAAGCTATGGCTGTCTATCGATTTTTCAAGCTTTTCTAGTTCAACTGGATTTCTCGGTGGTCAAACAGATGTTCTACGGTGTCCATTTCCTCTGATTTTAATTTCTCCCGATGTTTTCGCGATGTATATTGCATCACACTCGATGCATTTGATTTCATAGACACAATTAAATAGAGTTACTTTAGGGATTTGGTCTTTTATATAGACAAGGTTGCTTCGCAGTGTGCCTGATGTTTTGAAGAAAACTTTGATGTCCAGCTCATTGAGTACTCTTCTGATAACGTCTGACGTCTCTGCTCTATACGGAATGACAAGTATTGAAGTCCCTGTTTTGAGAATACGTTTTCGACCACACATAATGTCAGTGTTGATTTTGTTGATTTCGCTTGAGAGTCTCAGTAATGTTTGATATTTGTTCTTATTTTTCCTTCTCATTCGTTAACATCAAAGAGTGTGCTCTTCGAAGAAGACTTGAAACAACTGATACCTCTGCGCTGATAGGTTGTGATGATCCAAAGTCTAAATATTTGTTGGAGTGGGTTTCTTCCTCAATATAGGTATGCCGAAATGTCCGTTTTCCTTCCTCTTAACTAGGCAGCCAGTCTAGAAATGGTAGTTTACCAAAGTCTGATACTGCTTCTGATGATTAAGTTGTTATATATAAGCTAAGATTTTGTAAATTCTGGTTTAATGATACTTTGGTCAAACTATTAGCCGCATTAAGTATCGAAACGTCAGTAAACACAACAGTATCGTTTTGTTTTTCATTCATTGGGAAATACAAAAAGCCTTTATTATAATGTATACAATTTTTTATTTGAACATAATCATTTTGCTAACTGCCTATTTCCTACTTCTAATTTTCTGCCTATGTATGCATTATGTGTGTAGGACAATGCTAAAAGTTATATGCGTACAAATTCAGTTAGTAAAGATCTTCAAAGTCGTATCCTGCTTTGGTATGATTATGCATGGTCAAAGTAAGTTTATTGCACTTTTTAAAATCTTTTTTTACCTTCAAAATAGTTTTCAAATAAATTTAAATCATTGTCTGGCGTCTTTGTGAGTGACGGGTATCAGCATTCTTTGTTTCACCCAACTTTGCTGAGGACTGTCCCTTTTAGAGTTGTTAATTGTTTGACTGTTGGACGAACCTATCATAAACACGTCTTGTCCTTCCTTGAGTTCCGAGTGGAACCTAGGTCTTCAGACACGAGGTGCTGACGTTTCAGTAGCTGTGATGTTATTTTTACACGTCGGAAATTGCTAGCCTCTCGCCTAGACTCCTCTCTTTTCTGGGTTTACTGCTGGTTAGCTTCTGAGAAGTCGATAGGGAATCAAACCACTGACCATGTGAAGCGTGGTCGGCTAACATTTAACTCTGAACCCCCGATACACTGTTACAAATACACATATACACAATTGTCCTCGTTCGCTTCCCATCGTTGAGGTGGTCAGTGAATTCTTCTCACTAACCAAACAAAATTTCAAGACTGAAATCATTTTCAGGGTACAGCTAAAACTATGGAGCTCCAGGAGACTACGATAAAATTCACCCGTTGAGGGGAATCTGATTCTCAAGTCCATGTCTCACGAATTAACACCCTCTGGCATATAAATATCGAAACTTTATGGTTTGGCAAAACTGCACAAAAAAACTGGTGTTTCATAGTGTCCTATTCTGTATATGTCCCGCTTTCCCTATCGTCCAACAACTATTTGGTTTGTGAAGTCTTTGGAACCTTCATATCGTCACTTGGTGAAATTCAGCGTACGGTATGCATTAAGTTTTGTAGAAACTGTCAAAAGCTTGAATGTAAATGGAAAGAAAATGATATCACTAGGGGCAGCGTTATTATTTAACAACGTTCCACTTCTTGAAACGGAAGATAGAGATGGGAATCCCATTTGGAAAGGTTAAGGAATCATTGTTAAAGTGCACGATGAATATCCAGTTTATCGTCAACAAACTATCTCCCTGATATTTGATGATTTTTGTGCCGATGAATATCCCTTCATATATACTAATGATAAGATTTATCAGTAGTATCGGAAACTTGGGAGTAATGTACAGCTGTCACTCCAGCCTGGTTTGGGACTCTTCAGTAGCATGCACCCACCACTAGGGTTTGAACTCAGGATCTTCTAGGATGAGCTCCCCTTTTATTGGCAAGGTCCTCTGTTCGAGCACCGGTAGGTGCGTACTGCTAAACAATACCCAACTAGGGCGAAACAGCTGTCTTGTAATCCCAGGTTTTCCAGTGATCCTCTAACCGATATGAGCCCATGTATCTATCCTGTAACGAATCGAATTCCTGCAAATTAACACCTTAATACCGAAAACTGTTAGCATTGAAAGTAAAAATAGGAAAAATCATAGTAATAATGGAAAAGTGCACCCATTAAATAAACAAACTGGAAAATAAATAAACAAATGCTTCTCCCTCTACGGTCAAGCTGGAAACAGAGACTGTGTAAGCTTTGTCTGATGACAAAAGGTTTTGGCTTGAATTCATGTCTGGCCAAGGCCTTCATTTTCCCAAGAATTTTTGCGCTTAGAAAACTTGGCAAATTAGCATGAATTCGATCGATGATTTGAAAAATGTGGTCAGAGTTGGTTGACTGATAAAAGTCTATGAAGTGTTCTAGAATAAAGATCTTCCCACATCTCCTTTCTCCATTTTAAAACTATGCTAGAATGTGATGTCGTATCCATACGGACCGGATTCTCAGGCTACGGCCTGTGCAACCTACCTACTTCAAGAGAGTTGAAAAAGTGGTAGTTATACATGGAGGCCGGTCGATGAGGAAGCTTATCTTTCATATAGATGCAGAAGAATTTGCAGCTAGTAAAGGTCAATCGAAGTTTTGCTTCAAAGAACATCTGACTAACTAATTTAGAAAGAAGAAGATTTCTCAACATGTCTGAAGCCCGATCACCTTTGGAATTGTAGATTTATGAAGAAGTCTTTCTTTGGGACTGAATTAGTGACTGGTTTGGAATCCTTATTCTTCCCACTGTCACTGGATGCTACTGGACGTTCTCCTCAACCTGTGTCGGATCTATTTCCATCGCTCAAAAAATATGCCAAGGAAAATGGAAATAGAGTGAAGACGCACTCAGGAGACCAAAGAATGACAATGCGAATCAGGCTATCGAGTGAAGCCTGAGTGGGAAAAAATTAGTTGGAAGTCTGAGGGTAACATGGAGAAGAACAGAGAATATTGGTGAACACAGGGCCAGCTAAAGATGGCCACAAGTAATAGGGAAAAGTGGAAATGTGTTGTTGAAGCCCTATGTTCCACATGGAACTCAAGACAATAATGATTAATCAATAATTTTGTATTTCACATAATGGTACACCGATTGACTGGGCATTGGTTTTCAGGAGAACCGGACACAACCATCCATGCTTCTTGCGAGACGAAACCAGCATGTAGTATCATCCTGTGGCGCAACCACTCGAGATCTCTCTCTCTCGGTGCCTGCCAAGTCATCCACAACGGGAAACTCACGGGATCCTTTGAAGTGAGGAGGGGAGTAAGACAAGGTTGGCTGCCTACTATCTTCAATGATTTTCCTGACTGAGGTAGACCGGATAATGCGACAGACAGCGGGTTGGGCAACGAGGAAACAGGCATAAAGTGGATCCACACTAAAATTTTGGGGGATCTTGATTTTGCCGATGATATATGTCTGATTTCCCACGAACTGGATGTGTAAGTGAAGAGCAACAAGTTGACAGAAGAAGCATCCAGAGATGACAGGACTTCAGGTGAACATAGAGAAAACAGAAGTAGATGATGAAGATTCCTGGCCAACAGCAACAGCGACAACAACAGACAACAATCAGCCAGCATAAATGGGAAAAATATGAAAGAAGCAACCTTCTTTAGCTACCTACCTTCCTGGGAAGCATCGTTTTAACTAGAGGCAGACGGAACCGATGAGGATATCGAAGCGAGGATCGGGAAAGGAAGACAATCTTTTATTTTTCTCAAGTTTGTGTGGAGATCAACAAGCAGCACTCAATACGAAAAATAAGATCCGCATTTTCAACTCCAATTTGAAGTCAGTGCCACTTACTATACGAATGGATCAGAGACTTGGCGCCGCGCCGAGTCACAGAGGGCACTTCGAACAAACTACAGACCTTCATCAATAGCTGTCTTCGCCTAATACCACTCAGAATCAGATGGCGAGAAAAGATCAGCAACAGTGATCTCTGGGAGCGAATCAACTGAGAGGGAATCAACTGTGCAAAAAATATGTAGGAAGAGATGGAGGTGGATTGGATTGGTCATACTCTGAGAAAACGAACCATCAATTGAGTAACATCACACGCCAGGTCATCGATCGAGTGGAACCCGAATGCGAAACGGCAAGTTGGTCGTCAGTGTGAGAGTGAGGTGACATGGAGCCAGGTGAAAACGTTAGCGAGGAACCGAACGCAATCCAGACGTGGGGCTGTGGCCCTATGTTCCTCTCGGAACTAAAGAAAACAGTAATAATAATAATAACAGTAGTTTTCCATGAGAACAGCTCAAAACACTGATCTAAATAATGACATACAACAAAACATACAACTGAATTCGACGCTTATACAATACGTTTTGTGCTGCTCATCAAGCACTATGATGGTGTAAGATGCACACACAGGCAGTATCCATGTAGTGGAAAACTGCTAGGTAATCATAACGCTGGATGGTCAGATAAAACGAATTTTGGAATATATATAAATCGAATCATATGGGAATTTTCATGCAACCGGTTCCCTTTATTAGTTTGAAGAGAGTAAGAATGAACATGTTTGCAGGATAATACGAGCTCGTTTTATCTCGTGGATTCTCATCAACTGCATACATCCTAAACAAAATCAAATTATAGGTTTCCAGAAAGTTGTGGAACATACTTTTTCATAAATACTTTGAGTTATAGATAGAAGGTATAAGGAACATAATTCCAGAATTTGATGTAGGTAGACAGGTTATTCGGTGTCAAAAAACAACTAATTATATATAGTGGAATTAGATAAGAGGGGTAAGAGTTCAGATTTCTATTGGAAAACAACAGAGATTGGTTAGAGGCATACTATAGGGTCAGGGTCAGAGAAAAAAAGAACGTTAAAAAGAACGTTTCCAGCCGCCAGACTGATCCTACTTCACAACACTGTGTGGTCGTTAACCCAGTCAAAAGTAGATGAGTTCCCTACTCACGTCAACTCCAACTGCATTTACCAATTCACGTGCACCTGCGGTAGCAAGTACATAGGAAGGACTGAGAGGACAGCATCTACTAGATTTTCTGAACACATTCCTAAGAGTCTCCGTACAAAAGGAAGAAAAGTGTTATCAAGTGCAATCGCCAGACATCTAATTGACACAGGACACACAGTAAAAATCAGCCAAGCCTTCAAAATAATCAATACACAAATAAACCCACGGCTACTTCGCTCCGCAGAAGCCATTGCTATCAAGAGATTTCGACCAGACCTTTGTATACAGAAAGATAGTGTGAATAATCTTTCACTACCTTGGTAACCCTAACTCTATTTTATTTTATTTTGGTTTTGCCTTTCTGTCAGTATGCCTGTGTGTTTGTCTTGTTACGTAACATTCTATTCAATTTTGACCTTCAAGTTTCTAAATCTACTTAATTGTTTGTCTGTTTAAGTTATAAATGTTACTTCACTATTCACCCCCACCCTCTTAAACTCCCCACCACAAGATGTGTAAATTTACTTTGTTCTCTGACCCTGACCCTATAGTATGCTTCTAACCAATCTCTGTTGTTTTCCAATAGAAATCTGAACTCTTACCCCTCTTATCTAATTCCACTATATATAATTAGTTGTTTTTTGACACCGAATAACCTGTCTACCTACATCAAATTCTGGAATTATGTTCCTTATACCTTCTATCTATAACTCAAAGTATTTATGAAAAAGTATGTTCCACAACTTTCTGGAAACCTATAATT